ACGTGCAGACGCGCTCTCGGCGGCCTTGCTCGCGCATCGCATGGGCTTGTTTACCATGCGATGAGATGTTGGAAAGTGGACGCGGACCAACAAGTGCAAACCCCGTCCCAAATGATTTGGGACGAGTATCCATTTAGTCAATCAGTCACTAAAGTGACTGATGGTTAAGGGGGGGTGATGTAACGGGGTGAATCGTTACATAACAATTTATAAGAAATTGTTAATAGAATATAACTATAAGAGTTATATTCTCAGAATATTGTCATAAGGACAATATTCTGTAGCACTTCCAAGTAGTTCCTAATTGGTTGATATAGGCCATTATATCAACCAACGAAGACGCGCCACGACAGACGCACGCAATGAGTGGTGAGCAGATAACTGATTTACACATTTGTATTTAGACATAGTTAGATGAAGATAAATAGTGATTCATTGCAGACATTAACTATTATAAATACAGTTCTACTTTTTACTTTAACCAAGTACTCGCTTCTTCTTACCGTCTTCCTCTGCACGTACGAGTGTACGTGAAGTTACGAGGCACCGCCTTATTCTGTTATCAGAATAAGTAGCTTGTACTGTCACCAGTACAAGCTTCAGGGTGCCCCGTTACAGCTGTCAAAAGTTTCTACAAGGGGAACTTGCCGTCGAAAGACAGAAGATAGCATTGCTACAGCAGCAAGGCTCTCATCAGTCGATGGGCGGACCGACGCACATGCGTCGACCCGAAACCTTGAAGATTGAAATATCAAGGTACAAGGGAACCGATGAAGATTCCCTTTTGAGATGGTTCGTCGAGTTAGACGATGCCATCAGGGCCCGTCACATCGAGGGTGACGAGATGCAAGTCACCTTCGCCCTATCAAATCTGACGGGACGAGCAAAGGCTTGGTCCTTAGGGCTCAAGCTACACGACCCAAACGTGTTAGAGTTGTTGGAGGTCTTGAAGTCTCGGCTTAAAGAAACGTTTGAGCCGCCGAGAGCCGAGTTCAGAGCACGCATTGCACTCTTTAGGATAAAGCAAGGTAAGTGTGCCGTGCACGCTTACGCACATCACCTGCTCTACCTTACGAGTAGCGTTAAGGAGAATCCTATTGATGAGCACACACTCATTAACGTGTTCGTCTACGGCCTTGTAGATGGGCCGGTGAAGACCTACATGTTCCGAGGGGACTTCCATACGCTGGAAAGGGCGATAGCGTATGCGGAACAAGAAGACTTCAGTCTGAGACAGTCTCAGGCTAACACGTCCAACTATTGTCCGACGAGGCAACAGGAAACAGAAGGTCCCGAACCAATGGACATCTGTTACATCTAGAGCGAGAACTCTCGCTCTTTAAGACAGAAGCGAACGGCAATATGCCATCGCTGTCAGAAGATTGGACACTACGCTCATGAGTGTAGTGTCCCGAGCACTGCAACACGTCCGAAAAAAGGACGTGTTGACCACCTTTGGCCGAGGAAGGGTCCGAGGCGTGGGTCCGACCATGTCGCTAAGCCACGACAGCAAGTCGGACCATCAAAAAAACGGACAAGGTCAGTAGGGGCGGAGCACGCTGCTGATCCAGCAAATTCAAGAGAATATGCAGGACTCTTGACGAAGATTGCTCCCAACACGCAGTCTATGTGTGGTACTGCCTTTGTGATGAGGAGTCTCTTATCACTTTGAAGATCGAAGTGACAAGTGGACTGTCACTTCGCGCCCTAGTTGACTGTGGGGCGTCGAACAGTTTTGTTCTACGCCAGTCGCTAGGGGATAGTAGGCTCAACTATGTTGAGCGAGAGTTCCCTCCAACGAGGATGACGGCGTGCCTTGCTATAGGCGCATCCGTAAGAGTGAAAAAACGTGTAGTGGGAATCCACTACGCGCTAGAAGGAAAGCAGATCGATGATGACTTCATCGTAATAGATTTAGATGACAAATTTGATGTCATCCTTGGTCTACCATGGCTTGAAAGTACCGGCCATGGCTTATCTGGCAGCATCGATCCGTGAAGATGCCTGCCGTTGTTTCATCGGGTGGCCATCTGATCAACGTCTTGGAGCGTCCACAAGCGTGTGATTGTACTACGAGTGAGTGCGATGGCCTCACTTGTGGTACGGTTGTTAGTACGATTGCACAAGATCACAGTGTAAGAGGCCACTGCACTGTGGAACCAGCTTCCGGCACCTGCTTAGAAACGCAGGCTGCGCCGAAGGTTCACCACTCGAAGAGATCTAAAGGACTGGAACACGGATGCACCAAGAAGGGTGCATCCAAAAAGATAGACTAGTGTTTTTCAGGATGGAAAACACGTTGAAGCGAGATCGACTATCATAGAGTCGATCGTAGAGCAAGCCCGCTCGACTAAAAGAGAGTCTATCGAAGAGGAAGTGACCGTGATAGTACCCGTACCGGAAGAAAATTCAGGCGTTCCTGAGAGCAACAACTCCCGAGAAAGTTATGTTGAGGGTGTGGATCTCCAACCACCCGCGGATGTGTTTTCGCAGGAAATCACCGATTCAGTAAACGTCTTGGTGAATGATGGATCAAGTGTAGGCGCTTATACACTTAATCTGGTGACGCCCACGAAGTCAGCTTCGGAGGTGGTCAAGTTGCCAACGCTAGAATCTAAAAGATTCTTGCGAGATCTGCGTAGTGACAAGATCAAGCAGATCTGCGTACTCTTCAAAGAGGATGAGTACGTCGCCGAAATTCGGTCGGCACAAGTGTTTGCTGAGAACGAACGGTTTCTCAGTAGCTCATCAATAGACTAGATTGTCCTCGACGAGAAGACCCGGATTAAGCGATACACGTCTCAATCTTGGAATTCTTTGAAAAACTTTGACGACAAATCCTTTGTTTTAGGATTTTATTGAATTCAGGGATGTTTTCCCGGAATTCGTGCCATGCGAGCTGACCAAGGACAAAGGCACTCGGCATGGGATCTAATTGAACCCGGTTCGAACTACTGTGCCATGAAGCAGTGGCCACTGCCTCATGAATAGGTCACAGCGATCGACAAATGCTTTGCCGATCGTTCAGCGGCTAGTCATGTGAGGGAATCAACATCCCCACACAGCTCTCTGACCTTCTGTGTGCGAAAGGCCACAGGAGGGTGAAGGTTAGTGCACGCGTTCAAAAAATCGAACACTGCAACGGTACCGGCTCAAACACCAACCCCAAGAAAGGATGTCATCATAGATGGTATGGCAAAAAGTACCATCTTTTCATCCATGAATTTGATGGATGTATTCTATCAGATCCTCATGCGTGAACAAGATATCCCTTACACAGCAGTGAGCACCCCCAGTGGTATGCTCTGGGAGTGGCTAGTGATGTCGCAGGGGCTAAGTAACGCCCCCGCAACGTTTAAAAGATGTGTTACGAATCTGTTGCGATCGGTGCGCGACTTTGCACCGAGTTACTTCGACATTGTCTTCGTCCACGGTCGGGCTATGGATGGAAAGACGGACGTGGAGATTCATAGAATCCACATCCGGAAGGTTCTTACCCTAATGCGAGAGCAAAAGTTGTTCGCGAACATTAAGAAGTGCATGTTCTTAGCGAATGCAATAACACTTCTTGGCTACATCGTGAAAAAACACGGTGTACGCCCTGATCCGAAAAATACCAAGGCGATTAGCGACTGGCCTGTGCCAGTCTACGTCAAGGGACTTCGAAAGTTCCTTGGCTTGGCAGCGTATTTGCACAAATACTCGCGCAACTATGCCGAGATGACCGCTCATCTCTCTCGTCTACTAAATAAAAACGAGAGGTGGTCATGGAGCGCTGAGTGTCAGCACTCCTTCGAGGTATCAAGAAAATTATGATACAATCGCCTGTGTTGGCGATTGCAGATCAGGACAGACCAATTCACGTGGTCTGTGACGCCAGTGATTTTGCAATCGGCTGCGCGTTAATGCATTACGACTCGGACGGCGTTGAGCGCGTTGTCTGTTATCAATCGCGTCTGCTGCAAGCAGCTGAGCGAAATTATCCGGTGCATGACAAGGAACTCCTTGCCATGAAATATGCACTGGTCAAGTTTCGGGTATATCTCTTAGGAGATAGGCCCTTCATCTATTCTAACGACCATGCGTCGTTACGCACGGCCGTAAACAGTCCACACCTCTCGCAACAAATGGCGAGGTGGCTGTCTTTCTTCGCGAAGTACAACTTCTACGTCGAGTAAAACCAGAACGACTTAATGTCGTCGCTGATGCTCTTTCGCGTCGGCCCTATTTCAAACCTACAGCTTAACCCAACAGTAAGAGTGATCCTACTGTTGCAGCACTATCAGTGAGTGTTCCGTCGTCGAATCTGCTCGACGATGTGCAAAAAGCATACACAGAAGATAATTATATTCTACGTTGATTGAATTACGTGTGTAATCCATGCAGTCAAGCTTTGAAAAGCTTGTCGTCTCAATACCGCTCTTCAACCGAACAGTCTTCTGTTCGTGATGGACTGCTGTACTATACAGCAGTCAACGGCAACACACCTCGTGTCGTCGTTCCGGCTCATAATGATGTGCGATTGCGCATCATGTATGAGTGTCACGCGCCCCAACAAGTGGGCATCGCGGCAGAGAAAAGACCTACCTCGTGGTGAGTCGTGACTTCTACTGGCCACACCAGTATGAGTTTGTGCGGAAATACATTCGCGCTTGCGAATTTTGTCAACGGGTGAAGCCTATTCCTTCATCTCGCGCACCCTTTCAGCCTCTTCCGATTCCGGCAGAGTGCTGGCAGTCCGCATCGATGGACTTTATCCTTGGCTTTCCCGAAGACGCTCACAAGATTACTGGTATTCTTGTGTTTGTTGATCGATTCAGCAAGATGGTACATCTTGTTGCTGTACCGGATTCAATCACAGCCCAGGGATGTGCGCGTGTCTTCATCGATAATATCTTCCGACTTCACGGGATACCCCATGAACTCGTGTCGGATAGGTGCCCCCGCGCTACAGCGGAGTTCTGGCAATTCGTGTCTTGTTCACTTGTAACACGCTGAAGATGTCGACTTCTGACCATCCCGAAACAGATGTTCAGACGGAACGCGTCAACCGCGTTCTCGAAGAGATTCTTCGAGGGTACGTCCACTCGTTTACGAGCTGGAGTGAGTTCTTGCCGATGGCGGAATTCGCCATCAACAACTCGGTGCATGCGTCGACAACGCATACACCGTTCTTCGTGAATGCCTACGCCATCCACGTTTACCCGCCTTCTTCGAGTGTGACTCTATTTTAAGGGGGGGCTCGCTCGAACAAAACCGATCTGGTTCTTTCTCATCACCCGTCGACAATGGTGTCGACGTGATGGATGCCGATGTCGATGCGATTGATGTCGATGATGATGATGACGACGATGCTGGAATATTCAGCATCGCCAATGACCGCCAAAGTGAGGACGATGACACCCTCACTGGTGCAGAAAACGTTCTTTAAGCAGTGCAAACGAAGCGCACTGCTGCTGACAAGGATGAATCAGCAGAAATTCTTCTGCTGACTCGCGAAGCGGTTGTCCGCTTCGTTCAAGACTCTATTGCAGATGCACTAGACAGACAGAAACGAAACGCAGACAGACATGGAAGAGCAAATTTTCTTTCATTTGACGAAGGAGATTTAGTTTTACTAATTACAGTAATCCGACGAAACACGCAGTGACAAACGTAGGCAGCAGTATATTACTGCCCAGGTACAGCGGTCCATTTAGTGTGTTGCGCCGAATGGGCAACGCATACACGATTGAACTGCCCCGTAAGATGCGCACGCATCCTACGTTTTACGTCGATCATCTCCGCCAGTACTATCAGTACGAGCCCGTTTCGAGATGCGAAGAACACCTCCGCGGTCGAGAGCCGAGACCACCTTCGAGTGGTCCTATTTCAACGAGCCAGTCTGTTCGGCTAGCGAAGCGACCTGTTCACGCAGTTCAGCAATGTCTCGACGAGCTACAGCCAGCTCGTCACGAAGAGAACGAGTCGAAAGTTCGTTCTCAAGTCGCGTGAGCGCAAAAGCGGCACGATCGTCCGAACAATCGTGCGGTAGAATATTGTAATCATCCCTCACAAGAGTTCCAATCCCAAAACGCCGAATCCGTTAATGAGCCAGGTCATCTTGCAACTGTTCTGTTAGACGGTTCAGCTCTTGAACATCGACCTGATCCGACCCACGAGCCGGATCAGGTATTCCCACAGCCACCACATCCTTTGGTGGACTCAAGCGGTGGTCAATGCTTTCTAGTGGAGCGTATTTGGAACCACCGCGATGTGAATGGCGTCCGGACGAGTTACCTCGTCCGCTGGCGTGGCTATCCACCGGCGTGGGACAGCTGGGAGCCTCGTGCCCAGCTGATTGTTGATGTCCTTGGTCTCGTCGAGCAGTACGACAAGACCCACCCGCTGCGTTTAAAGAAGGGCCGTCGGAAAACGACCTCCCCGAACGCGAGTACAGGGATTGCAAAGTGTCAAACCCTTCGGCCATCTCGGAAGAGATGCGCGCCCTCCAGTAGGGATCATTAGGGAGGTAGGCCTCCCTAGGGGCACGGTTCGAATTGTCCAGGCAACCTGGACGCGAATCACCCCACGAGAGACAGGGTAATCCTGCCTCTCTTGAAAGCCGGTGCAACTTGTATCGCGCCCCGACTGGGTTGCGTTTCTCAAACCTGATGCGAGCTGCATCAAGTTTGGCGAGCCAAGCCTCACGGCCAATACACTCGATGTTGTGGATGAGGGCATTCCATCCCTGCACCAAGGCTTTGCCGTCTCGTACACGGCTACCATTGTACCACCGATGTTTGAAGAACGCATCGGTGAAGAACTCTTCCTCAGCACGGATAGTTTCCGTGCTGGAATCAGGAGGGCAAATCTTCCTGCAATCGAACAACGGGATGCGATCCCGTTCGGTAGTCGTGCCGGCCAACCGGTCCAACTCTCTGGATGACGGCATCCACGGAGACTCCACTTGGGGAGCGTGGCGCAGGGCATTTCGGTCCCTGGCCTCTTGATTGGTGCCAGCATGAGCACTGGCATCAGCGTTACCCCGATCGCTTGTGTTGCTTCACTCGTGGTGATGCATAGGTGCATCACCACCATCTCCACGCGTCCTATCGTTGAATGGACTTGCACGAGACGAGAATTCGTCCGAAGATTCGCCCGGTTCGAAGATCTCGGACATGATGCCGCCACGTTCCCAGAGCCAGTCAACTTGGCTCTTGCAGTGTCCGCCCCGGGTGGTCCGGAGTCGTGAGGCGTCGCCTTCGAGCCGGATGTATCATCCAACTTGCCAGAATAGATGAGCTCTATCTCAAACTCATCTTGACTACGATTCGAGGTACCCGCTGCGGACGCAACGGATCTACCTGTCGCACGTGGTGACTCACCACGTGGACGATTCACAACAACAGGCGACGAATCGCCTGCTGCTGAGGCCTGAGAGGCACTTTCAGCGGCCGCACGTATGCGTGCAGCCGCCCTTTTTGCTGCTGCAGTAGCAGCTCGCGTGATTTTCGAAACCATGCGTTGGGTTGGCAAATGAATGGAATTGGACCAACAAGTGCTCCCTTTACCAGGGTGATTCAGCGCTGGTCACCCTGTCGCAATCAATTCTAATTCAATCAACGGGTGATTGATGGTTAGGGGGGTGATGTAACGGGGTAGCCTGTTACATGAAATTGACACCAAACGGTGTCAATTGGAATATTGTTAAGTATGACAATATTCTACCAATATTATCCGGGATGGGTAATATTGAAGGAATATTATCCCCTTTTGAATAACATTCATTCGCTGCTCCAAGATTTTGTTGTTATAAGACATACCAACCATAGATTGCCACCATATGCTGCTAGTCGCGCGCAATAAGTGGTGAGCAGGTTGTCTTCATACGACGGCGTACTTTGGTATAGTTAGATAAAGATTAGAAATAGATTGATAGCTTTACTATATTAAATACAATTCTCAATTTTACCTTGCTTGATCGAGTCGTTCAAGTAGCTTAGATTCCTCTGCACGTACTAGTGTACGTGAAGTTTCGCGGCACCCCAAACAAAGGGTGCCCCGTAACAAAGCGCGCTTAAGTTTGGGCTCACCAACGTCCATCCCTGGTGTCACGTGGTTGTGCTGTTGCATGCGTCGAGCGCTGCGGCCGGTTTAGGCTCCTCTTTTTGAACGCGCAAAACAAGGCGACCTGCTCGGCCTTGATCTTGGCCACATGCTGGCGTCCGTGTGTACCGACAAACGTTCCTTGAATGGGACAAGCACGCTCATGAAGTCGCATCTGCGCAGCGCGCTGGGCTAGTGCGACAGGACACTGATAACTTACATCATGCTAGTTGGGTTGTCGCTGTCAAGCAGCGTCTTCATCTGCTTGATGCCTCCTATCATGCCAACAACGAAGATACCAATGTGCAATGTGATTTCCAGCACGACGCCCTTCAAAACTTTAATCGAGCTGCTCGCAGAAAAACGTGCCTTGGTCACAAGGAACCTTGACGCGTCGTCTTGAGACACTGAACAAACATTGGATCGCTCGTCAGTTGTAACGGGGTGAATCGTTACATAACAATTTATAAGAAATTGTTAATAGAATATAACTATAAGAGTTATATTCTCAGAATATTGTCATAAGGACAATATTCTGTAGCACTTCCAAGTAGTTCCTAATTGGTTGATATAGGCCATTATATCAACCAACGAAGACGCGCCACGACAGACGCACGCAATGAGTGGTGAGCAGATAACTGATTTACACATTTGTATTTAGACATAGTTAGATGAAGATAAATAGTGATTTATTGCAGACATTAACTATTATAAATACAGTTCTACTTTTTACTCTAACCAAGTACTCGCTTCTTCTTACCGTCTTCCTCTGCACGTACGAGTGTACGTGAAGTTACGAGGCACCGCCTTATTCTGTTATCAGAATAAGTAGCTTGTACTGTCACCAGTACAAGCTTCAGGGTGCCCCGTTACACCTGGTAGCACTTCGTAGTCCGTCCAAGGACCGCGTTCACATCCAACATGAATATGTTGGATGATGAAGATGACCAAAGCTTTCACGCTACGCGTGACGGCTACTCCCATTTGAGCGATGTCGAATGGGATGCGGTTGAACGAATGGGTTCGACCATGGGCATCCATGCTGTTAGCGTCATGCTAGAGGCTCTCAATAGAGATGCCCAACATGCTACTATCGCCAAGTTCATTCAAAATGAACTTGACGCAGAACGCGAGAAAGTAGCCTTGCTTCACCAACAAGGTTCTCAACAAGCAGAGTTGTTGAGAGAACAAGGTGCTCAACAGTTTGAACTGTTGAGACAGCAGCAGGCTGCTGCTGGCGGGTCGATGCACTCGCGTCGGCCCGAGACTTTGAAGATTGACATCTCAAAGTATAGGGGGGTCGAAGAAGACTCCCTCTTGAGATGGTTCGTCGAATTGGATGACGCCATAAGGGCGCGTCGCATCGACGACGGGGATATGCAAGTTGCATTTGCCCAGTCAAATCTGGCAGGACGTGCCAAGACTTGGGCACTGGGGCTCAAGCTGCACGACCCATACGCGTTTGGGTCGTTGGAAGTCTTCAAGTCGCGGCTCAGACAAACGTTTGAACCGCCTAGAGCTGAGTTCAGAGCTCGAACCGAACTCTTGAAGCTCAAGCAGGGTAAGCGTGATGTGCACGCTTACGCTCAACATATACGACATCTCACGAGTTGTATAAGTTCCAATCCGGTGGATGAACACACGTTGGTTTCGGTGTTCATGCAGGGTCTTGCGGATGGTCCCGTCAAGACTCACCTGTTCCGGCTTGAACTAGATTCACTAGAACAAGCCATTTCAATTGCGGAGCAGGAAGACTTCAGTCTGAGACAGGCTCGCGCCAGCTCGACATCATATCGTCAACCGAGACGATATGACAACGGAGGTCCAGAGCCGATGGAACTCTGTTATGTAGAGAGCGAGAAGGCTCGCTCTACAGGCTACAAGAAGTTGCAGAGATGCAACAGATGTCAAAAGACAGGACACTACGCTTACGAGTGTAGTGCCCCTCGTCCAGTGTCTCGCGACACTGGGCGTAGTGACCGTCCACCCATGAGAAAGGGGCAGGGACGAGGGTCCGCAGTTGGTGCAAAGACGCAACAACGGGATGGACCGTCAAAAAACGGACAGGATCAGTAGGTGCGGAGCACCCTACTGATCCAGCAACGTCAAGAGAATTTGTAGGCCTCTTGATGAAGGTTGCTCCCAACACACAGACATTGTGCGTTGCTGCTCTAGGTAATGAGATCTCACTCATTACCTTGAAACTCGAAGTGACGAATAAGTTGTCCCTTCGAGCTCTAGTCGATTGTGGGGCGTCCAACAATTTTGTGCGACGCCAATCGCTAGAAGATGGTCACTTTAAATTCAGTGAATGTGACACACCTCCTACGAGGATGACGGTACGTCTTGCGACAGGCGCATCCGTAACCGTCATGAAGCGTATAGTGAAGATTCACTATACGCTAGAAGATACCCAATACGACGATGACTTTATCGTATTGGATTTGGATGACAAATTTGATGTCATCCTTGGAATACCGTGGCTCAGAAGGTACGAACCACGGGTAAACTGGCAACATCGGACAGTAACGATGCCTGCCGCTTGTTCATCAGATGGCCATCTGATGAACGTTTTGGAGACGTCCACAAGCGTGTGGATGTACTACGAGTGAGTGCGATGGCCTCACTTGTGGTACGGTCGTTAGTACGACTGCACAAAACCTTAGTGTACCAAACGGTTACACTTCGGAGCAAAGTTCCGGCGGCTGTGAGGAAACACAGGCTGCGCCGAAGGTCCACCACTCGAATAAGTCGGGTGGACTGGGACAAAGATGTATCCCTAGAGGGGAACATCTAGAAGAGAAACAATCGATCGCTCAGGTTAAGCGAAACGATAATCCTAGATCGACTGGAGAGTCTTTCGTAGAGGATCTCGCTGTGGTTGCGCAACCCCAGCTAGAGGAAGTAAAGGGAATAAGTCCCAAGATTACAAATACGGCGGAAATAAGTTCCCCGAAACCCGCGGGAATAAGTCCCCGGGAAGACGAAGGAATAAGTCCTTCGAAGCCTGAGGGAATAAGTCCCCAGGAAATGACAGAGACATTGAATGTCATAGTCAATAACGGATCATGTGTAGGCGCTTATACACTTGATCTGATTGCGCCTCCGAAGTTAACTTCGGAGATCACTCAGTTGCCAACGCTCGAACATAAAAGGTTCTTGCGTGATCTGCGTAGTGGCAAAGTCAAGCAGATCTGCATACTCGTCGCTGAAGACGAGTATGTAACCGACATAAGGTCAGCAACAGTGTTTACTGAGAACGAGAGAGTTCTCAGTAGTTCATCTATGGACGAGAGTGTCCTAGATGAAAAGACACGAATTGAGCGATATGAGTCCCAATCATGGGAATCGCTCAAGGAAAATCCTCTCTATGAAGATTTGGTTGAATTCAAGGATGTATTCCCTGAAACTGTTCCGTGCGAATTACCGAAGGATAAAGGTATTCGACACGAAGTCGAGCTTAAACCAGGCTCGAAGTACTGTGTCATGAAGCAGTGGCCACTGCCTCGTGAACAAGTACTTGCGATCGACAAGTTCTTTGCCGATCGTTTAGCAGCCGGGCCATGTGAGGGAATCAACTTCCCCACATAGCTCTCCGACCTTCTGTGTGCGAAAAGCAACAGGAGGGTGGCGGATAGTGCACGCGTTTAACAAATTGAACGCTGCAACGGTACCGGCTCAGACGCCGATACCGAGGAAGGACGTAATCATTGATGGTATGTCAAAGAGTACCATCTTTTCGTCCATGGATTTGATGGATGGCTTCTATCAAATCCTAATGCGGGAACAGGATATACCCTATACCGCAGTTAGCACGCCTAGCGGCATGCTCTGGGAATGGCTAGTAATGCCACAAGGGCTCAGTAATGCCCCTGCCACGTTCAACAGGTGTGTATCACATCTGTTGAGGCCAGTACGAGAATTCGCGCCGAGTTATTTCGATGACGTATTCATCCATAGTCGAGCTATGGATGGAAAGTCGGACGTTGAGGTTCACAAGTACCACGTCCGACAAGTTCTTACAATCATGCGAAAGCATCAATTGTATGCAAACCTCAAGAAGTGTATATTTGCAGCAAGCGAAATACCACTTCTTGGGTGCATCGTTGGTAAGAACGGTGTACGTCCTGATCCCGAAAAGATCAAGGCGATCACCGACTGGCCCGTGCCGGTCGATGTCAAAGGTCTTCGAAAATTCCTTGGGCTAGCGGCGTATTTGCATAAGTATTCACGCAATTACGCCGAGATGACTGTACACCTCTCTCGTTTGTTGAAAAGAACGAGAGGTGGTTATGGAACGCTGAATGTCAACGCTCCTTTGAGGGTATCAAGCAGAGCTTGATACAATCCCCAGTCCTAGCAATAGCCGATCAGGACAGGCCATTTCATGTGGTCTGTGATGCCAGCGATTTCGCAATCGGCTGTGCATTAATGCAGTACGACCTTGAAGGCGTTGAACGCGTCGTCTGCTATCAGTCGCGTCAGCTGCAACCAGCTGAGCGGAACTATCCAGTGCATGACAAGGAACTCCTTGCCATGAAGTATGCACTCGCGAAGTTCAGAGTCTATCTATTAGGAGATAGACCCTTCGTTGTTTACACTGACCATGCGTCCTTACGCACGGCAGTGAACAGCCCGCACCTTTCACAACGAATGGCGCGGTGGTTGTCATTCTTTGCAGAATACAACTTTACGGTCGAGTACAAACCAGGACGACTTAATGTCGTCGCTGATGCACTCTCACGTCGTCCCGACTTTGAAACAGTCGCGAAACCCAACAGTGAGACAGTCACTGTTGCGGTTATGACGTCCTCAGTTCCATCTACAACGTTGTATGATGATGTGAGGCGGGCATACGCCCAAGATGGTGAGATAGTGAAGTTGTTGTCACATCTCTCCCAACCATCTCGAGAATCGTTGAAACGATTGTCGTCTGCGTATCGATCTGCATCAGATCGATACACTACTCGTAACGGTTTACTGTACTATACAGCCGTTTCTGGTGACACACCACGTGTTGTCATTCCAGATGATACTGATCTGCGTTTGCGGATCATGTTCGAGTATCACGATGCTCCTATAGGAGGACATCGTGGCCGAGAGAAAACATATCTCACGGTAAGTCGAGACTTTTACTGGCCCCGCCAGTATCAGTTTGTGCGAAAGTATGTTCGCGCATGCGGAAGTCTGCCAACGAGTGAAGTCAAGTCCTTCACTGCGTGCACCTTTACAGCCTCTACCGGTTCCGGCTGAGTGCTGGGAATCCATCTCAATGGATTTCGTCTTCAGGTTACCCAAAGACGCACGCGGGAATACGGGTATTCTCGTATTTGTTGACAGATTCAGCAAAATGGTACACCTTGTGGCTGTACCAGAGACAATCACGGCAAGTGGCTGTGCTTGTGTCTTTATTGACACCATCTTCCGACTTCATGGGTTGCCCCGTGAACTCGTATCAGACAGAGATCCACGATTCACTGCTGATTTCTGGCGTTCCGTGTTCAAATCACTCGGAACGCGCTTGAAGATGTCAACATCTGATCATCCAGAGTCAGATGGTCAGACGGAACGTGCCAATCGTGTCCTTGAAGAGATACTTCGAGGATACGTACACTCCTTTAAGAGTTGGAGTGAGTTTTTGCCGATGGTAGAGTTTGCCATCAACAACTCGGTGCATGCGTCCACGACACATACACCGTTTTACGTGAATGGCTTGCGCCATCCGCGTGTACCCACCTTACTAGAGTGTAACTCTGGTTTAAGGGGGGAGGGACTCGCGCGAGCAAAAACCGATTTGGTTCACGCTCATCACGCTCTGACGAAGAAGTCATTGCGTTTGATGCCGATATCGATAACATCGATATCGAAGAAGATGATGCCAGTGAGAGTGCGGGAAGCCCTCACTGAAGACAATGATCCCAGTGAGAGTGCGGAAGCCCTCACTGAAGAAAGGTTGTTGTCGCTGCAGTGCGCTCACAGCACACTGAAGCTAACGAGTCATCAGATGAGTTCATACTGGCTCGTGAAACGGTAGTCCGTTTTGTGCAAGACTCCATCGCCGAAGCGGTGGATAAGCAAAAGCAAAACGCTGACAAGAATGGAAGGGCAAACACTCTTTTATTTAATAAAGGTGACTTAGTCCTACTGTCTACGGTTAATCTACCAAAACATGTAGTGACTAACTTGGGTAGCAGTAAACTACTACCCAAGTACATTGGCCCATTTCGTGTATTGCACCGCCTAGGCAATGCATACACGATCGAGTTACCACGTAAGATGCGAACGCATCCCACGTTTTACGTTGGTCGGCTTAAGCCGTACCATCAGTACGCTGCTTCTTCCGATGAAGAACGCCCTTGCGCTCAAGCATCTCGCAGAGAGCCTTGTGCTCCCGATGGTGGGCATCAACAAGGGTCTGAAGAGCAGTTATCTCAGCCCGAGACCGATCAACAATCCCACGAGCTACCCTTAGCTCGTCACGAAGAGATGTCAGAGATCTCTCGTTCTCAAGCTGAGCAAAGGCAAACTCAGCTCGATGCTTCGAGGCAGTGTCCACCATCTGGAGACGCCTATTCCGCTCATGCTCGAGATCGTCGCGTAACCCTTGCGTTACGCGATCAAAGAAGCTCTCGGGAACACACCGATCCACATGATCGTGTGGAGAGCGTCTTTCCTCCTCCTCCACCTCCATTAGAGGACTCTCGCGGTGGCCAGCGCTATCTAGTAGAGCAGCTGTTGAACCACCGCGACGTGAACGGACGTCGGACGAGTTACCTCGTCCGGTGGCGCGGCTATCCCCCGTCCTGGGATTCTTGGGAGCCCCGCTCCCAATTGATGGTTGACGTACTGGGTCTGGTCGAGCAGTACGACGCGACACATCCTGTGCCGCAGAAGGACCGCCGGAGAAAGTCTTCCCGGCACGGTCGTAAAGGGATTTCAGGTTGTCAATCCCTTCGTACATCTCAGTAGAGACACGTACGCGCCACCACGGGCTGGTAAGGAGGTAAGCCTCCTTAGGTGCTCGTGCAGAGTTGTTCACACAACATGGGCACGAGTCTCCCCAAGAGAGGCAGGGTAATCCTTTCTCCCTTGACAGACGATGCAGCTTGTAGCGTGCACCTGTCGGGGTTCGCTTTTCAAACTTATCACGAGCTTTGATAAGTTTGTCGTTCCAAGCGTCACGACCTACATCCTCGAGATTATGGATGTAGGCGTTCCACGCCTGAAGTAGTGAGGGACCATCACGTTTGTGATTCCCACTGTACCATCGATGTCTGAAGAAAGCATCGATGAAGAACTCATGTTCAGCGCGATAGTCTTTCGCGCTGGGGTCAAGGTGATGGATCCTCGACGAATCGAACAATCGTGTTCGATAACGATCACTCGTCGTCGCCGACAAGTGATCCATGACAGATTTAGGAGGCATCCATGCCTTCTTTTCTGGAGCGAGACGCAACACATTGCGGTCCCGCTCTTCCTGCGACGTGCCGACAGAAGTACTGGCACCTCGCTGTGAAGTGGTGTCCATTGGAGAAACGACACCACTATTGGCGCCCGAGTCTCGCGACCTCGAGCGCCTTCGCTTCGGCGATGGTTCATCTGACTCATCAGATGAACCAAAGATGCTGCGACGCAAAGCATCGTCCATGCCACGCTTGGCAGGCGGCTTGGATTCAATTGCCGTCGATACGGATCCGTCATCCGTATCAGGAGAGTACGAGACACCGAGCTCGTACTCTGTGAAGACACGAGTGTCTTCATGACCAGCGCCTGCATCACCAGGTGATACAGGCTGAGTCGATTCAGCAACCGATGGGACATCAGTTGCTGTAGTTTCTGCTTCGGCGTCCGCACAGAGACGTGCAGACGCGCTCTCGGCGGCCTTGCTCGCGCATCGCATGGGCTTGTTTACCATGCGATGAGATGTTGGAAAGTGGACGCGGACCAACAAGTGCAAACCCCGTCCCAAATGATTTGGGACGAGTATCCATTAGTCAATCAGTCACTAAAGTGACTGATGGTTAGGGGGGGTGATGTAACGGGGTGAATCGTTACATAACAATTTATAAGAAATTGTTAATAGAATATAACTATAAGAGTTATATTCTCAGAATATTGTCATAAGGACAATATTCTGTAGCACTTCCAAGTAGTTCCTAATTGGTTGATATAGGCCATTATATCAACCAACGAAGACTTGCCACGACAGACGCACGCAATGAGTGGTGAGCAGATAACTGATTTACACATTTGTATTTAGACATAGTTAGATGAAGATAAATAGTGATTTATTGCAGACATTAACTATTATAAATACAGTTCTACTTTTTACTCTAACCAAGTACTCGCTTCTTCTTACCGTCTTCCTCTGCACGTACGAGTGTACGTGAAGTTACGAGGCACCGCCTTATTCTGTTATCAGAATAAGTAGCTTGTACTGTCACAAGTACAAGCTTCAGGGTGCCCCGTTACATCAGTCACGCCCAAGACATTTGCGATGTACTCTTTCTCGCCATTCGTCTGCAAAGCCAGCGCCTTGAGTAGCTTATCTATGTACTCGTTCTTCTGCGACAGCAGCAGATACTGGAGCCGAAGCTTCGTGCTCGTCTTGTTGCACTCTTAGAAAAGGCAGCGATGGAAGCGACGCCACCACCACAACGGCAGACGGAGCAGGACGACCCGGCGACCGTTGAAGAACCAGATCATCTTGAAACGGTGATGCATCCGACATTTTGCAGTAGTTGCCAAGCACAACTAGCGCGTCATCATCTTCGATCCAATTGCACAGATCTCCGCCTTGTGGATCTCTTGTGTACGCAAGCACGCCGCGATCGCATTAGCTGTAACGGGGCACCCTGAAGCTTGTACTGGTGACAGTACAAGCTACTTATTCTGATAACAGAATAAGGCGGTGCCTCGTAACTTCACGTACACTCGTACGTGCAGAGGAAGACGGTAAGAAGAAGCGAGTACTTGGTTAGAGTAAAAAGTAGAACTGTATTTATAATAGTTAATGTCTGCAATAAATCACTATTTATCTTCATCTAACTATGTCTAAATACAAATGTGTAAATCAATTATCTGCTCACCACTCATTGCGTGCGTCCGTCGTGGCGCGTCTTCGTTGGTTGATATAATGGCCTATATCAACCAATTAGGAACTACTTGGAAGTGCTACAGAATATTTGTCCTTATGACAATATTCTGAGAATATAACTCTTATAGTTATATTCTATTAACAATTTCTTATAAATTGTTATGTAACGATTCACCCCGTTACATCACCCCTCCCTTAACCATCAGTCACTTTAGTGACTGATTGACTAAATGGATACTCGTCCCAAATCATTTGGGACAGGGTTTGCACTTGTTGGTCCGCGTCCACTTTCCAACATTTCATCGCATGGTAAACAAGCCCATGCGAAGCGCGAGCAAGGCCGCCGAGAGCGCGTCTGCACGTCTCTGTGCGGACGCCGAAGCAGAAACCACAGCAACTGATGTCCCATCGGTTGCTGAAGAGACCCAGCCTGTATCACTTGGTGACGCAGGCGCTGGTCATGAAGACACTCGTGTCTTCACAGAGTACGAGCTCGGTGTCTCGTACTCTCCTGATACGGATGACGGATCCGTATCGACGGCAATTGAATCCAAGCCGCCTGCCAAGCGTGGCATGGACGATGCTTTGCGTCGCAGCATCTTTGGTTCATCTGATGAGTCAGATGAACCATCGCCGAAGCGAAGGCGCTCGAGGTCGCGAGACTCGGGCGCTAATAGTGGTGTCGGTTCTCCAATGGACACCACTTCACAGCGAGGTGCCAGTACTTCTGTCGGCACGTCGCAGGAAGAGCGGGACCGCAATGTGTTGCGTCTCGCTCCAGAAAAGAAGGCATGGATGCCTCCTAAATCTGTCATGGATCACTTGTCGGCGACGACGAGTGATCGTTATCGAACACGATTGTTCGATTCGTCAAGGATCCATCACCTTGACCCCAGCGCGAAAGACTATCGCGCTGAACATGAGTTCTTCATCGATGCTTTCTTCAGACATCGATGGTACAGTGGGAATCACAAACGTGATGGTCCCTCACTACTTCAGGCGTGGAACGCCTACATCCATAATCTCGAGGATGTAGGTCGTGACGCTTGGAACGACAAACTTATCAAAGCTCGTGATAAGTTTGAAAAGCGAACCCCGACAGGTGCACGCTACAAGCTGCATCGTCTGTCAAGGGAGAAAGGATTACCCTGCCTCTCTTGGGGAGACTCGTGCCCATGTTGTGTGAACAACTCTGCACGAGCACCTAAGGAGGCTTACCTCCTTACCAGCCCGTGGTGGCGCGTACGTGTCTCTACTGAGATGTACGAAGGGATTGACAACCTGAAATCCCTTTACGACCGTGCCGGGAAGACTTTCTCCGGCGGTCCTTCTGCGGCACAGGATGTGCCGCGTCGTACTGCTCGACCAGACCCAGTACGTCAACCATCAAGTTGGGAGCGGGGCTCCCAAGAATCCCAGGACGGGGGATAGCCGCGCCACCGGACGAGGTAACTCGTCCGACGTCCGTTCACGTCGCGGTGGTTCAACAGCTGCTCAACTAGATAGCGCTGGCCACCGCGAGAGTCCTCTAATGGAGGTGGAGGAGGAGGAAAGACGCTCTCCACACGATCATGTGGATCGGTGTGTTCCCGAGAGCTTCTTTGATCGCGTAACGCAAGGGTTACGCGACGATCTCGAGCATGAGCGGAATAGGCGTCTCCAGATGGTGGACACTGCCTCGAAGCATCGAGCTGAGTTTGCCTTTGCTCAGCTTGAGAACGAGAGATCTCTGACATCTCTTCGTGACGAGCTAAGGGTAGCTCGTGGGATTGTTGATCGGTCTCGGGCTGAGATAGCTGCTCTTCAGACCCTTGTTGATGCCCACCATCGGGAGCACAAGGCTCTCTGCGAGATGCTTGAGCGCAAGGGCGTTCTTCATCGGAAGAAGCAGCGTACTGATGGTACGGCTTAAGCCGACCAACGTAAAACGTGGGATGCGTTCGCATCTTACGTGGTAACTCGATCGTGTATGCATTGCCTAGGCGGTGCAATACACGAAATGGGCCAATGTACTTGGGTAGTAGTTTACTGCTACCCAAGTTAGTCACTACATGCTTTGGTAGATTAACCGTAGACAGTAGGACTAAGTCACCTTTATTAAATAAAAGAGTGTTTGCCCTTCCATTCTTGTCAGCGTTTTGCTTTTGCTTATCCACCGCTTCGGCGATGGAGTCTTGCACAAAACGGACTACCGTTTCACGAGCCAGTATGAACTCATCTGATGACTCGTTAGCTTCAGTGTGCTGTGAGCGCACTGCAGCAACAACAACCTTTTCTTCAGTGAGGGCTTCCGCACTCTCGCTGGGATCATTGTCTTCAGTGAGGGCTTCCGCACTCTCACTGGCATCATCTTCTTCGATATCGATGTTATCGATATCGGCATCAAACGCAATGACTTCTTCGTCAGAGCGTGATGAGCGTGAAACAAATCGGTTTTTGCTCGCGCGAGTCCCTCCCCCCCTTGAACCAGAGTTACACTCTAGTAAGGTGGGTACACGCGGATGGCGCAAGCCATTCACGTAAAACGGTGTATGTGTCGTGGACGCATGCACCGAGTTGTTGATGGCAAACTCTACCATTGGCAAAAACTCACTCCAACTCTTAAAGGAGTGTACGTATCCTCGAAGTATCTCTTCAAGGACACGATTGGCACGTTCCGTCTGACCATCTGACTCTGGATGATCAGATGTTGACATCTTCAAGCGCGTTCCGAGTGATTTGAACACGGAACGCCAGAAATCAGCAGTGAATCGTGGATCTCTGTCTGATACGAGTTCACGGGGCAACCCATGAAGTCGGAAGATGGTGTCAATAAAGACACAAGCACAGCCACTTGCCGTGATTGTCTCTGGTACAGCCACAAGGTGTACCATTTTGCTGAATCTGTCAACAAATACGAGAATACCCGTATTCCCGCGTGCGTCTTTGGGTAACCCGAAGACGAAATCCATTGAGATGGATTCCCAGCACTCAGCCGGAACCGGTAGAGGCTGTAAAGGTGCACGCAGTGAAGGACTTGACTTCACTCGTTGGCAGACTTCGCATGCGCGAACATACTTTCGCACAAACTGATACTGGCGGGGCCAGTAAAAGTCTCGACTTACCGTGAGATATGTTTTCTCTCGGCCACGATGTCCTCCTATAGGAGCATCGTGATACTCGAACATGATCCGCAAACGCAGATCAGTATCATCTGGAATGACAACACGTGGTGTGTCACCAGAAACGGCTGTATAATACAGTAAACCGTTACGAGTAGTGTATCGATCTGATGCAGATCGATACGCAGAGCGACAATCGTTTCAACGATTCTCGGGATGGTTGGGAGAGATGTGACAACAACTTCACTATCTCACCATCTTGGGCGTATGCCCGCCTCACATCATCATACAACATTGTAGATGGGACTGAGGACGTCATAACCGCAACAGTGACTGTCTCGCTGTTGGGTTTCGCGACTGTTTCAAAGTCGGGACGACGTGAGAGTGCATCAGCGACGACATTAAGTCGTCCTGGTTTGTACTCGACCGTAAAGTTGTATTCCGCAAAGAATGACAACCACCGCGCCATTCGTTGTGAAAGGTGCGGGCTGTTCACTGCCGTGCGTAAGGACGCATGGTCAGTGTAAACAACGAAGGGTCTATCTCCTAATAGATAGACTCTGAACTTCGCGAGTGCATACTTCATGGCAAGGAGTTCCTTGTCATGCACTGGATAGTTCCGCTCAGCTGGTTGCAGCTGACGCGACTGATAGCAGACGACGCGTTCAACGCCTTCAAGATCGTACTGCATTAATGCACAGCCGATTGCAAAATCGCTGGCATCACAGACCACATGAAATGGCCTGTCCTGATCGGCTATTGCTAGGACTGGGGATTGTATCAAGCTCTGCTTGATACCCTCAAAGGAGCGTTGACATTCAGCGTTCCATAACCACCTCTCGTTCTTTTTCAACAAACGAGAGAGGTGCACAGTCATCTCGGCGTAATTGCGTGAATACTTATGCAAATACGCCGCTAGCCCAAGGAATTTTCGAAGACCTTTGACATCGACCGGCACAGGCCAGTCGGTGATCGCCTTGATCTTTTCGGGATCAGGACGTACACCGTTCTTACCAACGATGCACCCAAGAAGTGGTATTTCGCTTGCTGCAAATATACACTTCTTGAGGTTTGCATACAATTGATGCTTTCGCATGATTGTAAGAACTTGTCGGACGTGGTACCTGTGAACCTCAACGTCCGATTTTCCATCCATAGCTCGACTATGGATGAATACGTCATCGAAATAACTCGGCGCGAATTCTCGTACTGGCCTCAACAGATGTGATACACACCTGTTGAACGTGGCAGGGGCATTACTGAGCCCTTGTGGCATTACTAGCCATTCCCAGAGCATGCCACTAGGCGTGCTAACTGCGGTATAGGGTATATCCCGTTCCCGCATTAGGATTTGATAGAAGCCATCCATCAAATCCATGGACGAAAAGATGGTACTCTTTGACATACCATCAATGATTACGTCCTTCCTCGGTATCGGCGTCTGAGCCGGTACCGTTGCAGCGTTCAATTTGTTAAACGCGTGCACTATCCGCCACCCTCCTGTTGCTTTTCGCACACAGAAGGTCGGAGAGCTATGTGGGGAAGTTGATTCCCTCACATGGCCCGCTGCTAAACGATCGGCAAAGAACTTGTCGATCGCAAGTACTTGTTCACGAGGCAGTGGCCACTGCTTCATGACACAGTACTTCGAGCCTGGTTTAAGCTCGACTTCGTGTCGAATACCTTTATCCTTCGGTAATTCGCACGGAACAGTTTCAGGGAATACATCCTTGAATTCAACCAAATCTTCATAGAGAGGGTTTTCCTTGAGCGATTCCCATGATTGGGACTCATATCGCTCAATTCGTGTCTTTTCATCTAGGACACTCTCGTCCATAGATGAACTACTGAGAACTCTCTCGTTCTCAGTAAACACTGTTGCTGACCTTATGTCGGTTACACACTCGTCGTCAGCGACGAGTATGCAGATCTGCTTGACTTTGCCACTACGCAGATCACGCAAGAACCTTTTATGTTCGAGCGTTGGCAACTGAGTGATCTCCGAAGTTAACTTCGGAGGCGCAATCAGATCAAGTGTATAAGCGCCTACACATGATCCGTTATTGACTATGACATTCAATGTCTCTGTCATTTCCTGGGGACTTATTCCCTCAGGCTTCGAAGGACTTATTCCTTCGTCTTCCCGGGGACTTATTCCCGCGGGTTTCGGGGAACTTATTTCCGCCGTATTTGTAATCTTGGGACTTATTCCCTTTACTTCCTCTAGCTGGGGTTGCGCAACCACAGCGAGATCCTCTACGAAAGACTCCCCAGTCGATCTAGGATTATCGTTTCGCTTAACCTGAGCGATCGATTGTTTCTCTTCTAGATGTTCCCCTCTAGGGATACATCTTTGTCCCAGTCCACCCGACTTATTCGAGTGGTGGACCTTCGGCGCAGCCTGTGTTTCCTCACAGCCGCCGGAACTTTGCTCCGAAGTGTAACCGTTTGGTACACTAAGGTTTTGTGCAGTCGTACTAACGACCGTACCACAAGTGAGGCCATCGCACTCACTCGTAGTACATCCACACGCTTGTGGACGCTCCAAAACGTTCATCAGATGGCCATCTGATGAACAAGCGGCAGGCATCGTTACTGTCCGATGTTGCCAGTTTACCCGTGGTTCGTACCTTCTGAGCCACGGTATTCCAAGGATGACATCAAATTTGTCATCCAAATCCAATACGATAAAGTCATCGTCGTATTGGGTATCTTCTAGCGTATAGTGAATCTTCACTATACGCTTCATGACGGTTACGGATGCGCCTGTCGCAAGACGTACCGTCATCCTCGTAGGAGGTGTGTCACATTCACTGAATTTAAAGTGACCATCTTCTAGCGATTGGCGTCGCACAAAATTGTTAGACGCCCCACAATCGACTAGAGCTCGAAGGGACAACTTATTCGTCACTTCGAGTTTCAAGGTAATGAGTGAGATCTCATTACCTAGAGCAGCAACGCACAACGTCTGTGTGTTGGGAGCAACCTTCATCAAGAGGCCTACAAATTCTCTTGACGTTGCTGGATCAGTAGGGTGCTCCGCACCTACTGATCCTGTCCGTTTTTTGACGGTCCATCCCGTTGTTGCGTCTTTGCACCAACTGCGGACCCTCGTCCCTGCCCCTTTCTCATGGGTGGACGGTCACTACGCCCAGTGTCGCGAGACACTGGACGAGGGGCACTACACTCGTAAGCGTAGTGTCCTGTCTTTTGACATCTGTTGCATCTCTGCAACTTCTTGTAGCCTGTAGAGCGAGCCTTCTCGCTCTCTACATAACAGAGTTCCATCGGCTCTGGACCTCCGTTGTCATATCGTCTCGGTTGACGATATGATGTCGAGCTGGCGCGAGCCTGTCTCAGACTGAAGTCTTCCTGCTCCGCAATTGAAATGGCTTGTTCTAGTGAATCTAGTTCAAGCCGGAACAGGTGAGTCTTGACGGGACCATCCGCAAGACCCTGCATGAACACCGAAACCAACGTGTGTTCATCCACTGGATTGGAACTTATACAACTCGTAAGATGTCGTATATGTTGAGCGTAAGCGTGCACATCACGCTTACCCTGCTTGAGCTTCAAGAGTTCGGTTCGAGCTCTGAACTCAGCTCTAGGCGGTTCAAACGTTTGTCTGAGCCGCGACTTGAAGACTTCCAACGACCCAAACGCGTATGGGTCGTGCAGCTTGAGCCCCAGTGCCCAAGTCTTGGCACGTCCTGCCAGATTTGATTGGGCAAATGCAACTTGCATATCCCCGTCGTCGATGCGACGCGCCCTTATGGCGTCATCCAATTCGACGAACCATCTCAAGAGGGAGTCTTCTTCGACCCCTCTATACTTTGAGATGTCAATCTTCAAAGTCTCGGGCCGACGCGAGTGCATCGACCCGCCAGCAGCAGCCTGCTGCTGTCTCAACAGTTCAAACTGTTGAGCACCTTGTTCTCTCAACAACTCTGCTTGTTGAGAACCTTGTTGGTGAAGCAAGGCTACTTTCTCGCGTTCAGCGTCAAGTTCATTTTGGATGAACTTGGCGATAGTAGCATGTTGGGCGTCTCTATTGAGAGCCTCTAGCATGACGCTAACAGCATGGATGCCCATGGTCGAACCCATTCGTTCAACCGCATCCCATTCGACATCGCTCAAATGGGAGTAGCCGTCACGCGTAGCGTGAAAGCTTTGGTCATCTTCATCATCCAACATATTCATGTTGGATGTGAACGCGGTCCTTGGACGGACTACGAAGTGCTACCAGGTGTAACGGGGCACCCTGAAGCTTGTACTGGTGACAGTACAAGCTACTTATTCTGATAACAGAATAAGGCGGTGCCTCGTAACTTCACGTACACTCGTACGTGCAGAGGAAGACGGTAAGAAGAAGCGAGTACTTGGTTAGAGTAAAAAGTAGAACTGTATTTATAATAGTTAATGTCTGCAATAAATCACTATTTATCTTCATCTAACTATGTCTAAATACAAATGTGTAAATCAATTATCTGCTCACCACTCATTGCGTGCGTCCGTCGTGGCGCGTCTTCGTTGGTTGATATAATGGCCTATATCAACCAATTAGGAACTACTTGTAAGTGCTACAGAATATTTGTCCTTATGACAATATTCTGAGAATAAAACTCTTACAGTTATATTCTATTAACAATTTCTTATAAATTGTTATGTAACGATTCACCCCGTTACATTAGCCGCCAGCCAGAACTCAATGTTGAACATCGCCTTAATCGCTCCCTTTGCAAACAGGTCGAAACAAGTAATCCCACACCAAATAAGATACACGAGGTTGACGGTGCCTGTTCGACCCGTGTCACAACGCCGCCAAAGCGACCGGTCGTTACGGCAGCTCGTCTGAAATGATTCAGATCAGTTTCGTGCGCCAATAGATGAGAACTGCATTGAGCATCTCGATCAGAAAGTTGAATTGAACCTGTGTCGTAAGGCTGCCGAACATCGAGAGGGTAAGCACGTGCAGGTTATAAAGATCGCCGTTCATATGGACGCGTATGCGCGTGTCAAAGTCTGGGCGGCCGAGATCATTGACGCATCGAAGGCTAGCGATAGTGCCCTGAAGGAGTTATTGCCATGAGTGTTCCGATTTTCTGAAAGTTGAACGCCGCGAGCACGCAAGTGTATCCAAACACCTTGTTGTTCGCGATGCAGCCAAGATTGGACACCCCCGTGATGTCCTCGGTAGAATTTCAATCACCGCATCCTGGCGGAACGATAAGCTATGGGATAGGTGCTTGCCGGCAAGATGGAAGTGCAACGGGTTTGCGACGTTGACAATGTACGAGCCGGGATTATACATGCCGTTAGCGACGACGGACTTGATCAGATCCAGGGCGCGCGACTTAGTAATGTCACCCTCCTCCTCAGTGTCGAAGAATAGATCCCTGATAAGCACGTCGACTACAGGAAGATGTAGCGCGAGCACAACCGGAAAGGAACGGCCGATGTGACTGGAGATCGTGTTGACGAACGGCGACTGCACATCGAATAACGTCTTCTTTGCCTCATTGAAGGCGGCGCAGTACTCGGCCCACTTGTGTGGAAGCCGACTGACACGTGCGATTTGTAATTCAACAACCGGAAGGACAGGCCCGTCCAGCCCTTCACGTCCTTCGTTGGCGCAGGATTTTTGCGTTTCGACCCTGCCTTTTGGTGTGCATTGGTAACCTCCTTGCCAGAAGTAATGCACATGTAGCTTTGAGCGCCGACTACGTGCTTCTTTGTAGCGTGTTGGTCGACAATCTTCGTCCCGTACTTCAGCACGTGTGACTCATTGTAGAAGGTGCCACGCGTGCTCATGTTAAGTGATCGGACAAAACGAGAGGACGACGCTGTGTAGAAGAAAATGTTGGAGTTGACGACGAACACGTCAGCTATTTAACGTTTTGAATGTTTGATGTTGATGTGCCTGACAGTGATACACTTGTTTATGGAAGTGCACTTGGAAAAATCAACAAAGAATCAGTCATCATGATGAGGTAAGGTACTGAGGTAACTGTGATGATGCAAGTGTTGTCGTCATGATGAGGCAAGACATCAATCAAGTCCGAGATGCTGAGGACACTCAAGATGAGGCCATGGGACCAAGGTTAGTCACCATGATATGCATGTACAAGAAGTAGGAAGTTTGCTTTTTATTTTTGTTAAGACCTCATCAATAACTTTCCAATTTGCTTTGTTGTGGCAACTTCCTTATCAGTTTTCCAATTGTTAATGACGTCTGCCGTTACGGCCACAACATTTTCGGCAATTTTGAAGCAGTTCAGTGGAACGGGGTTTCCAGTGTGGGGAGCCCAGGTGAAGTTAGTCTTGGAGATTAATGGTCTCTGGGCTGACGTCCACGAGCCGACACCACCTGCAGAGTAGTTGGCTGCCGAGGATCAAGCTAGCAAGGCTGCGGCTACAGGAGAGTCCGTGACCGTGGCGCCGTTAACGCCACACCATGGCCGCTTGATGAAGCAAAACATTTCTGCATCCATCACCATGTCGGCCTTGAGTTAAAAGTTGGCTGCAGAGGTGTATCTTTTGGCCCCCCCCTCTCGCAATGCTTCGACACCTGCGTCTCCCATACATCGTTTAGTGTAGTGCGAGTGTTGGTGCGATTAAACGTGAGTACATGAGTTCGTACTTGGAAGACGATGACTATATGATAGAGCACATCAGGGCGACAAAGCGTGTCATTGATGCGCTTCAAGAACAGCGCGTGACACTAAATGACGATCAGAAGCGCCAAAACTTTATGCAGAGCTTGGGGCCGCATTGAATGGATTCGTTGGTGTCTTGGAGATGTGCCAGACATTCTAGGCAATGGTGACGAGATGTCAAGCCGGACCAATTCGTCGAGATCAGCAAAAAAACGGCGCTCGACAAGGGGATTAATTGGAGCAATAGCGGTAGCTGCCTTTACCGTTGAGCAGAACAATACCAAGAAGTCATTCAAGAAGCGTTATATGTAAAAGGTCAGGTGTTACGATTGCCAAGGGGTCGGACACTACGCGCGCAATTGCTTAAAGGATCAATCAGCACCAAGAGGAAAGCCCGAGGCTGCAGTATGGCTTTCGCCGTAGACGATGTCATGGAAAGAAGCAAGAGAGAGTAGATCGTGGACAGCGGTGCCACAAGCCACATGATTGGGCATTTGGACAATCTTGTTTGTGTCCGCGAGCTAGATGAACCTCGTGTGCTGACTGTCGCGTCAAGTGACAAGCTGGTGTCTACGGCAGTTGGCCAAGCCTTACTTGTGGCACATGGACAAGAGGTCTGAGTGATACAAGAAGTCTTGTACGTGCATGGATTGGCTCGTTACCTAGTATCGGTTGCTGCCGCCTCGCGCAATGAAATGACTGTGGAGTTTAGAGGAACGGATCGCTTCATTCGGTCAAGGACCAATTTAGCACTACGAGCTTCGCGTGGGTACCATCACATGTACATGGTAAGTACATTGAGTGATCCAGGTGAGCAAGCTGCGATGATGACAAGTGAGAATGCACATGTGGAGAAGTGGAACCGCCGTTTAGGTCATTTGAACCCCAAATGTGTTCACTAAGTCTTGACAGACTTCAACCAACCTTGGTCTTGAACTATTGAACAATCGTGTCCAACCTGTGTGAGTGTAAAGCTGGCATAGAAACCTTTATCCGCAAAAGAGACGCGACGCGTAGCCAAGAATTAATTGATGTTGGCCATCGACCATGTGGGTCCGATGCACGAAGCATCACGCAATGGACACACAGGATGCTGGAACATGGCGATTAAACCATTTCACCTTGACATGGTGTTCCTCTGAAAGAGAAGGGCTCTAAGGTGCAGCTGGATTCAGTCAAGAATTGCATTGCTCGACTTAAGGCATATGCGCCCAACTATCGTATTGCATTTCACAAGTCGGACAACGCTGCTGAGTACGTGGGTGGTGAGCTATCTGCTTTCTGCAAGGATCAAGAAATTATTCAGGAATTCAGCACGCCCTACAGCCTTCAACAGAATGGAAAGGTCGAGCGTGGGAACCTTGTGATTGTGGAGATGGTTTGTTCGATGATGATTGGATCCAATCTGCCGGTGAAGTATTGGGCTGATGCTATGGTTTGCGCTGCTTATGTGCGTAATCGATGATCAACAAAAGCTCTTGATGGGAAGACACCGATGGAAGTTCTGCTAGGATCATCCTGACATTAGTAATCTACGTGACTTTGGGTGTAAAGTTCAGGCACTGAAGCCGAAGGAACATCGAACGAAGTTATAGCCGAAGACTCACAAAGGGATTTTCTTTGGATATGCCCCTGGAGGTGCAAGCCTGGTCCACATCCCAGAACAAGGTCGTAATGAAACACCCACTGTTCGCACTGTTGTGTTCTACGAAGATCAGTTCTTACCTGCAGCTGACCATGGAATCACAATTGACACGGAGCTTGACGTGTTGAAGCATGGAACGCAGCAATTAACGATCGCGACCAAGGTCGAAGAAGAAGAAAAGGAAGATGTTCATATGACTGAAGTACCATCTGATATTGAAACACCGATGAGCCGTCCCGAGCGTTCCAATTCAGTTGAAGTACAAGTGCAAGGTGACCCTCGTGCTAAAATCAAGACCAAACTTACGGCGCTCTTCCAGATTGAAACAGCCGGGTCAAGGACGGCTTGATTTTCAGGCTTCTCATCTCGCTATGGAAGAGGTGTGCGACTTCATTGAAGAGAGACTTGCTCCATCGGTTTTAGACGGCTCTGATGTTCGTGATGGATGTATCTATCGTCAGCCGACGAACAAGGAACTTGAAAAATGGGCATTCGCCGCGGATCAGAGCAACATTGATGAAGTTCGGGAGAGTGATGATTAAAGCGAGTGGGAGCGCGCAAGGGATACAGAGATACAGAACCTGCACAGCAATGGCACCTTTGTCGAAGTTCCACTGCTAATGGGGCGTAAGGGGATCAAGTCTAGATGGGTGTTCAAGAGAAAAACTCATGCAGATATCAGTCTCGACAAAAACAAAGATCGTCTTGTTAACAAGGGCTTTAGTCAGAGATACGGAGCGGACTACACGGAGACTTTCATTTCAGTCGTACGTCACAGCACTCTTCGTATTGTATTTGCTATCGTCGTAAGCAAGCGCATGAAACGCCTACAACTGGACATCAAGACCGCCTTTTCGAACTCAAAAGTACAAGAGGAGATTTACATAGAGCCTGCTGAAGGGTACGAGAACGACGAAGGTCACGTATGGCTCCTGTTACGTGCACTGCACGGGTTAGAGCAAGCTTCAAAGGCCTGACACGACAATTTGTCAGCTTTCCTGATTCGCGTTGGCTTCACGCAAGGCAAAGCCGACACATGTTTGTTCGTCAAGAATGATGTCAATGGCCTCACGATTGTCCTCGTTTATGTCGACGACATATTGGCTTTTGCGACACGTGATGATAAACTGTTAGCCTTTAAGTCTACAGTTGGGAGCGATTACAGCGTGAACAATTTTTTTGATGCAAATTATTTCATGGTTTGTAGCTACAATAGTGACCGAGTGGAAATGAGCTTTGTTAAAGTCAGCACAAGTACGTGTGCAGTGTCCTGGAGCGTTTCGGTATGACCAATGCTCGATCAGCTTCGAAACCTATGGAAGAACGTTTTTGGGATCAGATTGTGCAATCGTCAGATACAAGTGATATAAATTCACGTCAACCTATCGGTGCTCTACTCTATTTGGCTGTCATCAGTCACCCGGATGTTGCAACCGCCGTGTGCATATTAGCCCAAGAGACTGAGCGTCTAACGGAAATTGTCAAGCAGGGAATAGATCGAGTCTTTCACTACTTGAATGGAAATCGTGATCTATTAATCGTGTTCAAGAACCATTCACCAGATCAATCAATACTCACTATCTGTTGCGATGCAGCTTTTTCGACGGAACGTGAGTCGCGATCTGCAACTGGCTACGCGATTTTGTACAATGCAAACCATGCTGAGTGGGGTTCAAAAAAACGATCGAGGGTTACACTGTCCTCTATCGAGTCAGAGTGCATTTCTCTATGTAGTGGCGCTCAAGAGTGTCTCGGGCTCAAGATGATGTTACAAGACATTGGAATCACCGTAATCAAAATATTGGTGATGGAAAACAATTAAGGCGCTCAACGTTTGGCGAAGCAAGAAAGTGACGCAACGATCGCGTCACGTTGACACTAAGAATCATTGGCTGCGAAAACAAGTGGGTAGTGGTGGTGTGCATGTGAAGTATTGCCCTATCAGCGAGATAATTGCTGATTATTTCACGAAACCACTTCAAAAAAACAATTTCGCGTAAATTTTTGCAGCGAACTTGGTGTTCGTCGAGTGGGAGTGTTGGAGTTGACGACGAACACGTCAGCTATTTAACGTTTTGAATGTTTGATGTTGATGTGCCTGAAAGTGATACACTTGTTTATGGAAGTGCACTTGGAAAAATCAACAAAGAATCAGTCATCATGATGAGGTAAGGTACTGAGGTAACTGTGATGATGCAAGTTTTGTCGTCATGATGAGGCAAGACATCAATCAAGTCCGAGATGCTGAGGACACTCAAGATGAGGCCATGGGACCAAGGTTAGTCACCATGATATGCATGTACAAGAAGTAGGAAGTTTGCTTTTTATTTTTGTTAAGACCTCATCAACTACTTTCCAATTTGCTTCGTTGTAGCAACTTCCTCATCAGTATTTTAATAAGAATTAAGGAGGAGAATTGAAAACGTGTTACCTCTCCACCCCCCCAGAAGCACTAATGCACACCAGATGTACACCCCTCATTTTTGGCACGTAATGGTGTTTACATTTGGTATCTTTGGCATCTATAACTAGAAAGCCACAAATTTGACGAGGCCTCCTTTATAGGCTACTTTATGCCGGTATACATATCATTCATCGATCCATTTTTCTGTCATTTGTTTGATGTCTGTCGTCCGTCTGCCTGTCACTCGAAATGTACCGTACTTTTCATGCGGGTTGCGATCTAGCTGGTCATCTCTTCATAAGTAGATGTGCATATCAGATGCCACCCTTTGCTTCGCTCCTCTAATCTGACGCATGTACGTGATCAGCTTGGAAACGTTTTAGGGTTAGCAATATTGCTGGGCGCCATAAAAAAATAGTGATCGCGTTTGGCCGAATCCACTGTACCAGGTTTATGAGGACATTATCCGTATCATTTATAGTCTGTCGTTGCTGCCGTCGTGAAGCGCCGTTGACGTTAATTTCGTTCTTTAAAAAAACAAACACATCAAGGACTGTAACGGGGTGCCTCCGTTGCTTGATAATTTATGTAAAATCAACAAAAAGGAAGGTATTTTAGAACAAACACATTATTCTCACCAAATAAGCTGATTTACTATAAAACTTTCGCAGATGTAACGCAATGCTCATTGGTTGGTATGGGCCCGAGATATCAACCAATTAAAGTGTAGGTACGACAGGTACACGTAATAAGTCTTGCAGGGCGTGCAAGGCCGTGAGCCTTGGGCCTTAAATTACACAATCCGTATATTTCTGGGTCGTTGAAAGACATGAGTACTCTGCTGGGAAAAATATATGAGCTGCCGCGAGGTGAATTCAAGTCTCGTTCTGAACTCCCGGAACTCAAGCAAGGTAAACGCTACGTACACTCGTACATTCAGTGCATACGTCACCATAAAATTTGCTTTACAGTATACCATCTCAACCAGCAAACGTTGATTACGTATATTATGTAGGGTCGGTATGATGGTCCCGTTAAAACCTAACTATTTCGATTGAAATCTAGCATTCTGGAAGAGGCCGTAAGGGTTGCGGAACAAGAGGAATTTAGCGTAAAACAGGCTCAAGCGATTTTAAATTCCTATCGTCCGTCAAGAAGATGAAAATTGGAGGCCCAGAACAATCAAACTCTTTCACATGGGAAGCGATAGCTCTCGTGTTATTAATTATGAGTAATTGCAAGTATGCAACAAATTTTAATAGGCAGGGCATTATGCATACGAATTCAGTACCGCAGAACCCCCGAGCGGCCAAGCGGGGTCCAAACGTGGGCTCGGTGTAATTGCGAAGACGCGAAATTGTACCGGACAGCCAAAAAAACGATCGGGCCAGTTGGAGTAGAGCGCACTTCTGATCTAGCAATGTCAAGCGAATTTGCAGGCCTCTTGACAAAATTTGCCATTAATACTCAAATTTTGTGTGTCGCTGCTTATTGTAAAAAAACTTATTACATAGTAATTCGAAGTAACGCGAAACACGTCACTTCGCGGTCTTGTTGACTGTAAGGTCTCGAACAACGCCAATCGTTGGACAAATTTATATTAACGTTAGACTGGCGTGGCTCAGAAGATACGAGCCACAAGTCACCCGGCATCGACGGAAGGTCCATATGCCTGTCACTGTTTATTAGAAGGCCATCTGATGAACGCCATGGAGCTAACACTAACGTGGGGGTGTACTAAGAGCGAGTGCGATGGCCTCGCGTGTGGTCTAGACGTTATTAAGACTGCAGATGGCCATGGCGTGCTGATTGAAACACGACAAATCCAGATATTGGCAACTTCATTGGGATGCAGGTCACGCCGAAGGCCCACCACCCAGAAATGTCAAGTGTACTGGGCATGAGTGTCCTTCAAACGATCAGCACCCAAGTGACAATCATCGATTGCCAATAACCGACAAAACGAAGGAATTAGTGCGATTGCAGAATCTTAAGTAGGAGATCTGGACGCAGTAGCGCAGCTACCGCCAGAGATAGCGAGGAGGCAATTCTACTCGCGTCACGCAATAATTTATTTCAAGAGGCTAGTGACGAGATAAGTCCACACTTAAACGTGTAATCAGTCCCCAGGAGTCAAAAGAGACATTAAATGTCCTATAAATGACTGATCAGTTATAGGATCTTGTCATATAGGTCTGATAGCGCCCCCGAAGACAACTTAGAAGATCCCTCGGTTGACCACGCTCGAACAGAATCGTTTCTTGCGTGATTTGCGTAGTTGTGAAATCAGGCAGATTGCCGTACTCGTCGCGGAAGACGAGTATGTGACCGATATTCGTTCGGCAGCGGTATTCGCAGATAGAAAAAGGGTTTTCAGCATCTAATCGAATGGACAAGAGTGTTCTTGTTGAAAAATTTGGATTGAGCTTCTAAAAGTCGATCTTGGAAGTCGCTTTAGGCGTATCTCTATAATGTATCTGATCAATTTTAAGGATGGAATACCAAAAACAGTATCGTGTGAGTTACCCAAAGATATGGGTAATCGTCATGAGATCGACCTTAAGTGAAAACCAGGTTCAAAGTACTGTGTCATGTGAAGTAGCCACCATCTCGTAAATAAGTACTAGCGATAATCAAGCTCTTTGTTGATCGCTTGTCAGCGGGCCACGTATTGGAATCTACCTCCCACATAGCCCTTCGACCTAATTTTTCTGAATTTTCGAAGGAGGATGTCGAATCGTACATGCCTTCAGCAATACTTGTGCGGCAACTTTATGGTTTAAACGCCGATACCGAGGAATTGACGTTGTCACCGATGGTAGCTCAAAAATTATAATCTTAATGTACATGGATATTATGAATGGCCTTTAGTCGATCCTCATGCGTTAACAGGACATCTCGCGTACAGCATTAAGCACCTCCCCCGTAGTATGCTGTGGGGATAGCAAGTAATGCTATATGGACTAAACAACACATCTGCAATGCTTAGTAAATGTGTCACGAACGTGCTAAGATCAGTGCAAGAATTTGTACTGAGTTTTTATTATGACGTATACGTCAATAGGCGGGCTGTGAATGGACAGGCGGATTTTGAAGTCCACCGATCCGCAGCCGAAGGGTACACTAACGCTTGAGTAT